TTGTAACTATTCCACAATTGGATTAAGATCTATTCAGCTGAATTCCTCCGTCTTACCTTTCTTAGAGCACATGAGCCTCCTAGAACAATCATTGTTTCCAACGAGTATCGCGACAAATCTGCTTCCGCACGCTTGATGTGTTCGCACTTCATTTCATGGGCTCAACGAAATACTTGGGACGAACGAACAACTCAAGAGCAGGCAAGGGCAAATTACCCAAACTTGAATCATGTTTTCTACTCTTACCACCAAGCGGCTCACCCTAGTTCCGCTCACTTCAAACATGCGAACAGCTTATGACGCGATCGAACAGGACCCTCACGATCCACTCAGCCCGGTGAAGTCTTTTGATGAGATTGTCTCTAGCGCCGATGACATATATCGAAGAACTTATGCCATATTACTCACTTCAAAGACCACTGGCCTGCTAGAACAGAAAGGTGAGGGTTTCCTCGAAGACCAAAGAAAGTGCATAGGCGTTGTCGGCTTGCTGGGTAGTATCGTCCCGACAGGGCAGATGAGAGGCGACGAAGGCGAGCCCTGGCAGTTCACCTGGCACCTTGATATTCGTATAACTAAAGATAGGTACGTTGCTGATAGCCTTGTTGAATCACCCTGCCTTGATTGGAGTGGTCTTAATAATGCCCTTTCAGTCGCCGTAATGGCTATGCGCGAGAGGCTTGTGAGGCAACCATGCGCTCTCTAGCTGGTTCAAGCGAAAGCACTATACTTTGCAGCCAAGATCAGCCCCAGCTGTTTGTTTATTTTGTGGCACATGTTCCACGGAACGACACGGCCGTAACGAAGCTTATGACCCAGCTAGGACTACAGCGCGACGGGCAAATCAAGAATTGGCGCGGCGAAGAATGGGATATCATGGTCAAGTTCATCATGAAACCTTTACCAGATAGACAGGGCAATGTCCGCCTCCACAATCTGGCTCCCCCTACAATCTCCGACCGGTGGGATCGCAGCTCAATGCCTGAGCCACTGGTAACCCATCGCTTGACTCTGCTTCCTGTCGATACTCGTGCTGAGTTGGCTTATAAGACCGTGGCCAAGGGCGCAGATGATGGCTCTTTTGAAAGCCTGGTGCCTTTCCACAAGCTTGTTGCGGGTGAGATGCATGAAGACTGCCGCTCGTATTGCATCTTTAGAACATCAGATCTTGAAGGGCAACCTCGAGCCACTTTGACATCGGAGACACAACAAAAAGACTGCATCGGCATTCTGAGCTTTATGGGCCAACTGAAGACACCGCACGGAGACTCAAGACAGATACCCTGGCTTTTCGAGTGGCAAATGAATATAACAATTGTCTCGGGTGCGAGGAAACAGGGGTTCGCTAAAGAGAGCGCTGAAGCGGCAATCGAAGCTTTTCTCAGAGAGGGAAGAAGCAACTCACGGTCTAACATTGATTCACCGCGATTTGACGTTAAGGGCTTCTTGGGTTTGGGGAAACAAGTCATATTCACGGCCCGGTACCATGAGAAAAATATGGCTGCTGAGTCTCTTGTGAAAGCTTTGGGCTTCGACAGGGCCAAAACTATGGTGATGCTCGAGCTCATTCCAGATGGAGGCAGTGGTCCAGGAATACAAACTAGAGTCAGAGAGATAGGCAAGAAGACGGACCAGGTCTGGACTTGGACACAGCCTCCAGCATCGACCCAGTCAACCCCAATCGAGCCAGCGTTTGCCCAGTCGATTCCGGTTAGAGGTAGTGAACCTGGAGGCTGGGGGCTTGGGAGTATTTTTAGGGCCTTTCGCCGAGGTGTTAATTAAGATATGTGTTATACTTTTCCTGGGCTTGATGTGTACGTTTCTCAAAGTCCACAGCATTGTTTGTACACAATTGGAGCTCCGGATGGGCCCATTTCCATGGTACCTCTTTCATGGACTTTTGCCTGGCGGCGATGTAGGAATAGGTCGATGTGTGTACTTCAGTAGCTGCTGTGGTCACGCATAACCTGGTTACCACAAAGCTTGAAATTTCCATGGGTGTGTGCCATGTATAGCTCCGACAGGTTGCTTGAACAGATGCAGCCAGGACAATCTATCTATAACTCTGATTAGCAGTAGAAACGTCGTGTGATAGCTGCTGGTGGCCGGTTGATTATTCGGAGGGTTGTGTGTAAGTGTGATGGTGGACTGGAACGGAACGGCGAAGGCTTATCCTTAGATAGAGGGTGTCTGAGCACAGAGGCAAGTGTCGAGACGGTAAGTACGTTCGATGGCCATCGCGGGGTTTAGTTCACATGATGATGGCCTCTTCTCTATGCACAGGGCGTCTCTCCGGGACAAGAGACACACGGCAACATTAGCAAAATTAGGTAGTACTAATCATGAATTTCGTAAGTGAGAATGTGTATGTGTGTAGTTTTACCGAAGTAACAATAGGACGCAAGCCAGCCCACATCGTCCTTCTGCTTTTCGTCACTCGTAGCAACTTGCCGAAGTCAAAAGCTGTCAAGTTCAAGTCTTTGTCGTGATACCTTCGCCCTCATCCATACTGTCATGCCATGCCATTCTGTCTCCTCTGCTCTACGCCTCGCCAAATGTGTGCCCCTCTCACACAACAACTCGGTTCCTGTGCAGAATTCATGTGCCTAGCGCGACGCAGCGTGTGCTGAGTTTCCGTAACGAGGCCAGTTACACTTAGAAGTCTCCGCCGCCGAAGTCGTCGCCACCACCACCACCATCGTCATAGCCCTGATCATAGGCCTGCTGCTCCTCATGGTCCTCGTGGTCATCGACAGCGTCCGCGATGAGCGCACCGCCGATAAGACCGGCACCGACACCGAGCGCAGCACCACCGGCAGTTCCAAGACCACCGCCCGACTTCCTAGGGGACTGTTGCTGGTAACCACCGCCATAATTTCCGCCGTAGCCGCCGCCTCCATAGTAGCCTTGCTGAGGAGGTGGGCCGCCGTATTGTCCGCCACCGTATGGCTGGCCATAGCCACCTCCATACTGGCCGGGGGGCGGGCCACCACCGTAGTATTGCTGTTGGGGCGGTCCGCCGCCATAATGGCCTTGCTGGTGTTGGTATTGACTTTGACCCGGGTATCCGCTACCACCGCTGTAGCCGTGTTGCTTATTCTTGCTAGAGCCGCCGAAAATCTTGCCGAGAAGACCGCGAGATCCGGACTGGTCGCGGGATGGGAGTTGGTCGGGATACGAAGATCCGGAAGAAGATGAAGGACGAGGACTACTGCTGTTCAGGTACGAGTCGGCGGCGCCTCTAGAGCCACCAGCAGCACGAGCACGGGCATCCTCCTCAGCCTGCAGCTGGCGGGCAAGACGGGCGTCGGCATCTTCGTCCTGATGTGAGCCGCCGGTGCGGTCATTGGCAAAGGGGTTTGTCTTCGTGTCCGAGGGTGCGGGACCTGAGCCGGACGAGTAGCCTGGCGGGGGACCGCCGGGAGAGTCGTCGTTAGGGTTGACGGCTGGTGCAGTGGGCTTCTCCCATTGCGACTTCTTGGTGAAAGTGTTGACGTAGAACCTGTCGATAAGTGAGTTGGCATGTTGGTTCACACGAGAAAAGGCGACTGTAAGCACAGCAGCAGTCTAGGCTGCGACGAGGTGTAGGTGTTGGGAGTAAAACTTACCATTCCTTGTACTGGTCGTTCCAGCGAGCGACCCAGCCCTCCGGCACGCGGGGCGGGGGAGGGCCGGAGGGAGCTTCAAAGTCGGCCATGCGTATTGGATGGGGATGCGTTGAGGGGATTGCTGAGGTGAGGTATTGGCTCCCGAATGGATCGACTCGAACAGGCGGAGTTGAGTAAAATATACCGTTCGCAGGTGTATTGGCACCCGAGTTGGAGTGCAGTGGGCGACGGGGTTTACGCGGGTTGTAGGTTTGAAGATATATATAGCGACCTATGGAATGACGCTCGTGGTGGGGGGCTTGTTGGGGTCTGTTCGTGACTCTGGAGGAGGGGCTCACCAGATGGCGCTATTTGCTGGGCAGTGACTATTGACGTAATCAGATATGATTACTTAAGGTAGTATTGAGTTCACTATGCTCTCGATCTGTTGCGCGAAGAGACTGCCCGTCCCTTATCATGTCGGAGGAAGCCTCAATTAAATACATGTAGGTACCCTATCTATCTCTGTGCAGGCACTGAAGATACGTATTTGGAAACGCAGTGATGGAATACTCTAGATGAAGCCATGCGATGAGTGACCTACAATGGCAATCTGCAAGCGCATGCACAGCCCCGTTTTCCAGCTTGCCGTCTCGACGTCCATGGATGAACTTGCCTCGCCAGGTTGCATCAGTTTCATCGGCGGACTGCAGCTACACTCCGCGCCAGTCCAAGTATCATTCTTCTACCCCACTGCATGTGGCCACAAATACCATGGGCAGCGGCCATGGCCCGGCATCACGTCCGCCACACCTACAGTGGAGGCGGCCTCGCAGTTCCTGTCGGACACACATAGCTCCGAGAACGATGATGACCCAGCATCCAAGATGCAATACAGACCGTACACAAGTCGCAAGATCGAACTGTCACAAGCGTGGCTGAGCTGAGTGCTTTTCCAACCATCTCCGGGCTGCTACCTACCTGACAGACCTGGATTTGGAATATTGCCCCTAGCAGCTAGCCGCCAAGCCTGCTGACGTATTTTCTGGCACGCAGCCTGCTGAGCCACAGCCATAGGCATCTGTATTCCAATCCGTCCAATTCTCATGTTTGGCCACTGCCAAATCGTCTGCATGACAGGAAGCCATATTTCAAAAACCTTTGTGACTGGATACACGTCATTTGTCTTGATTTGGTTTGTAGAAATGTGGCTTATACACTTTGCATTGGATAACCTCGTCACATGCCGAGGCACCATAATATCGCTGAATCAACACGCCACATTAGATCGGCATTAGTCTGATGTGACCACACACCGTCGATAGACTCCTTCTCCACTGCGGTACTCCGCCAATATATACTCATCTTAGACACTTTTCCTCCAATCTAATAAGGTCCTCGGACGCCAACGGCGTCTCGGTAGCTCAGTGGTAGAGCGTGGGATTGCAGCCCCCAATAGCCAAAATCCTAAGGTCATGTGTTCGATCCACATTCGGGACTCTCTTTTGCCTTTTATGCCAAGGTTATTGCAGTTATTTAACCTGTAATATTCTTCTTGATCTAAATATCTTTTTCCTGGACACGAATATCGCAGTTCTTAGCCGTCGCTGCGCGGAGGACCGAGGCAGCTAGGTGATCATACGTTGTTTCGAGCTTCGTGTCCTTGAGGAATCATACAATGTTTCCTGAGTAGCGAGTAACCTGGCTAGACAAAACGAGTTATGCACCACTAAAGGTCAATACTTACACCATCCGCTGGACTAGCTATACCCGCATCGATATTTGACACACAATTTTTCCGCTCAAACTAGGTATATATAATGCCTAAATAAGGAGAATCTAGTAGAACGTTTTTCGAATTCTAACCAATCGATGATAGGTGAGGAGGTGAAGAATGTGTATGGCCTTGTTTGTCTACAACCTGGCTGCCATCGTGTTTGCAATTGGTGAAACAGCCTCATCCATCCACATGGAATAACTGAATATGTGATTTTATAAGTTTCATGTTTCTGTAGCAAAGTTGTTACTGCCTAGCTATTACCTTTCCTTAGTTATCGTACAGAAACACCCATCGATCATCGTGAATGAAGGTCATGAGAAGGCCACCTATCCATCTGTTCACTTCACCCGCCGGCCCGTTCATCGCCTCGTGACTGTATAGAGCTCCTAGCACACATAAACAGCAAAGTAGTAGGGGAAAGAAAAGCACCACAGCCCGACAGTCTACTTCCTGTCCGAATCAGGCACATACGGCTTCTCTGGAGAGTATCGATAGCGATACTCAGGACTCTTCGGTCCAGGCCGCCCACCATTGCGCTTCGGCTACTCAACAGCTTCAGCGCTCTCCTTCTCCCGCTGAGCTCTCTTCTTCGCATCCTCAGCCTCCTCCTTCTCCCGCTGAGCCCTGATCCTCGCAGTTTCAGCTTTGATCTGATCAACTGTCTCCATGACCTCCGCAGTGCGTGCTCTGTTTTCGGCTCGGAAACCTTCGATGAGACTGTCTCGGGCTCTGATATCCACCGAAGCTTGATAATTCTCTGCTCGAGCACGCTCGAGTGCGGCGATCCTCAGATTCTCCTCCAGCGATTGCTCGAATGTTCGCTCTTGCTTGGTGCTCATTCGAGGGACGTGATAGGAAACATCGGCCTTCTCTGGCTGCTTGCCCTTGTCGACGCCATATCCCGACTGGGGCTCCATCTTGTAAGAGGATGCCTTGAACTTCTTTGCGGGGTTCAGCATCATCGCTCGTGCGTGTGCCTTTACCTCGTCTGAAGTTTCCGGGTCCGTTGCCAGAGATCGATATACCGCCTCGTCGGTAATCCTCTGTTTGTATTCCTCATACTGCATTCGCTGCTTGGCGCGCTTTTCGGCCAGTTCCTCTTCGTATCGCTGCTGGGTCTTTGCTCTAACTTCGGCGAGATGGGCTTTGTTCCTCTCTACCATCGATTGGTAAGTGTGGGCGTGGGAGACTTTCTCCGATTGAGCACTCTGGCCGAAGCGCAACGGCTTCATCGAGTCGTTTGCGATGACGGTCTCCCGTCGAGAATCGTGAGGACGTGGAAGTGTGTCCCAAAACGACAGCTCTTGCTTGGACTGGTTGGACAGAAGTTGTGAATGTCCGGCACTGTGATGGGCCACAGAGGGGTCATGCGGCATGTGGTATGGGTTCGTAAAACAATTATATTGTGCGGCCTGAGTCTTCAGCGGTGCTTTGGTCTCGAGATTTTGCTCCGTCTTTGTCAACATGAAAGCTGAGGTGGGAAGTTCCTTAGGCTTCGGCTCTTCCTTGTGCGTGGGACGCTGCTCAGGCTTTGAAAAATCCTCCAGTCCTCGGAAAACCACTTTAGGTACGTACTCTGAACGCGCTGGGTTGGATTCCCCGTGCTCGAATTGCTTGACAGCCAGTCCGGGATGGGACTTGACGACCGTGGGCTTGTCTGCCTGCTCAGAAGCCTTTAGGACCCGAGCTCCAGTTTTGAGCTGGGTATGACTTTTTGGAGCATTTGGCCTTGTGAAAGCAGTGTTGCCAGATGAGGTGCTGTCGAACTCCGGAGGATTGGATGTGACCTTGGAATCGGCGTAAGAGTTGACTCCTGTCGTGGTGGGTGTAGCCTTGCTTGATGAGCAACCGACGATATCTTCTCTCCAGAAAGCTCCAGCAGGTTTATATGAAGCGATGCCGATTTTTGTGGTCTGTTTCTCAGGCTTGTGCTCCTTGCTTGGAGGGTTCTCCGACTGAGCTTCATTGAGCTCAGACTCCTTGAACACCGATGTCTTGGTTTCAGGCTTGTTGGATTCGGAGCTCACAGGCTTGGCATTTGCCTTCAAGACAACCCATTCGTCATCCTCGGAGTCACTGTCATCTTTTGGCCTCTTGTTAGCAAGTGAAACTATTTCATAAAAGCTTATGCACGCACTGCCATTCAACCCCGAAGAGGGTGGGTTACTTCAAAACAAGAGATGGCAACAAAACCGACAAAGAAATATTCTAGGCCACTCACTAGAGGACTGCTTCGCAAGAGCCTTCTCACTTCGCTTCTTCTTCTCAGCACGGTCAGGGCTACCACAGAGGAACTCTGGCAGCAATAGTTGGTGTCAGCTACTATCACACACGAGTACCAAGGGGATGGCGGGGACTATCAGGAAACAAGACAAGACGTACCGTATTCAGGCTCGCTATCGTTACTTTCTCGTGAGCTGTCCAGGTCGACATCCTCAAGCGTTGCGTCATCGGCAGGGTTAATCGCATCGGCCTGGACCTGGTTGTTCCAGGGAAACCGCATGGCATTCCACAGCAAAGTCTTCGTGCCAGGTGGAGGAACGTCGGTAGAGACGTCGGGTTTAGCCTCGACCTCGATCTCAGCAGAGTCAAAGGCTGAGGCTGAGGCTGAGGCAGCGGCAGGTGCAGGTGCTGAGGCAGTGACAGAGACAAAGGAGTCTTCAGTTTTGTCTTTGGCTGTTTCGGCCTTCTCGATCTTGGGATCGGAAGCAGAAGACATGGTTGCGTGGTGATTTCCCTTGGTTGTGTGAAAGGTGTAGTGCAAGGAATCGGAAGCCACGACAACCTGGGTGCTATTCTTAACTGCGTCACCGATCTCGGTTGTTAGGCTGAGGGGTTCGTTGTCACGCAAGCCTGGCATCGGTCGACCGATCAGAAACGGTCTGTCAAATATAAACAGAGGTGAGCAAGCAAGTACACCAAGAACGACTCGGGTTATGTGAATGGCTGATGGCTGTGCAAGACAGGAATCACCTTCGATGTTGGTGCAATGATGTTTGTAAAAGGGAGGAAGAGGTACTCTGGATCGGAATGACAAGAGGGGAAAACACCTTGCTGAAACGGTGCGCTTACGGTGAGCTAATTGTTAACTTATAAGCGAGATAGGTTCACATCTGAAAGCCACGGTCCAACTCTAACAAGCGCGTGTTGTCCTCACCTCATGTTTAGACGCGTCTATTAAGCGAACCGTCAAAGCTTGGAACGCGTAAAAAGGGGACAGTTGTCAACAGTGCGATATCCAAGGATTCTAGTTAGCAAACAATATAAGTGTGCCAAGATCAGTGATAGGTATGTCAAACATTCTATTCTTCATCGGTTGTCCAACTACCTACGTACTACCCCATAAACCCCATATCATCCCTATCACTATGGAAGTGATGGTCTGAGAATTGAGGCTTGGGGCACTACCTGTTAGTCTTAGACCAGGCTCCTTGAAATGCTTAATGAAGTCAGTGAAACGCCATCGCTAAATGATTAAACCATATCCCTATCGTAGTTTCTGTCCTCGAATAACTTTGCGGCCTCGATGCAGTAGGTAGCCCGATCCAACCTTCTCTCACTAGCATAGCAAATAAGAACGCCGTCAAGGACTCCGGAGAGAATGCCTTCCATCGCCCCAAGTACACCCCAACCAATCATACTTGCCACGATGCCCACGACGTAAGCATAGGCGCTCCCCCGTATGCCAGGCCCCTGAGGAAGAGTGACCTCTAATTGCCGTGCGGTCATGACCCACGCCGCAAAGCCAAGAGCTGTCGACATGACGAACCGTGCTGCATGTAGCAGCATCTTAGCCATCCTATACGGCATCAAGGAAGTTGTCTGATTGCGTCTTGAAAAGGCGCTTGGCGTGAGTGAGGTCGTGGGTCCCGTCGACAGAAATTGATTTCTGCTCAGCTGTGATGCGGACTCCATCAGAGCAAGAGAGTGGATGGAGGCGTAGGTCAATGCCAGGGGATTAGTCAACACGGACACTGGCCGCGGTGCCAGACGCCATCCGATGAACTCGAGTGCGCCTGCAATGCGCCGTGGGAGTATGAGAATAGGCAGTCGAACAGCCAGTGCCAGCAGAGTGGATGCGCAAATGGTCCCGAACACCGTAGTCACGGAGTGCCCCAAGGCTCCCTTCACAATGTCGTTCGACGAGGCAAGCGTCTGAAGGTTGCGATGGAAGTACCAGTTGGATACCGTACCAGCAGTTGTGGCCCGGACCACTCCGCTCGTAACGGAGAGAGTCCAGACATACATCAAGAAGAAGAATATGGCAAGCCACCATGTCGCGGTACCGATAATGAATGCAGATAGTGACTTATTGAAATATCCTCCCAAGAAGATACGGGTGAACATCCACAACCATACCCAAGTCCATCCTACCACAAAAGCCAAGGATCCGAAACCTAACAGCACAAGCGCCGGGTTTGCAGCAAGAATGCGACTGGAGAATTCCAATATGTCGATAGCCCTGTGGACTTCGTGCCGACCCTTGACAAGTAGCCAAACCCAGATAACGGAGCAGATTCCGGGTATTATAGCCGAGTATCTCATGACGACATCTTGGAAGCTCGATCCATGCTCGCGGCCTTGGAAACTAGAGATGAGAGGATACAATGAGAAGGAGAGCAAGACAACGGGAACACCGAACAAGATGAGTAGGACTAGGGGCTGGATGAATGACTTGAGAGCTGCCATCCATACAAGTGCAACGATGATGGAAACCAGT